CTCTGAGACGCAGCTGCAGGTGCTGCTGGGCTACGCCGAGGAGGACATCTATGACCAGTCGCGCCAGGCCACCGCCTTCGGCCTGCTCAAGGTAAGCGCCGCAGCTCAGGGTGCAACACGGTGTCAGGAAGCGGTCGGCCCCGTCTCAGCCGTGTGTTTTCATGTGTCGGACCACTCCAGGCCATCCTGTCCAGGAAGCTTATTGTCCCAGAGATGGAGCAGGTGTTGAAGAAGGTGGCCAAGTTGTCCATCACCGGGAGCAACAACATGATCAGAACTCACTGCCGACATGTAAGAACAAGCCGATGTGTTTCTGAAGCAGAGGTTCGTGCTGGTGTCTGACTGTGTTTCTGTGCGGTGCAGATCTACCTGAAGTACCTGCTGGACTACCCTCTGGGGAAGAAGCTGAGGCACCACCTGGACTTCGTGGTGGCCCAGCTGCAGTACGAGCAGGACACCGGCCGGGAGTCTGTGATGGAACTGCTGGCCTCCATCTTCCAGATGTTCCCTCAGGTTCAGATTGGATCCTTGTTTTCTCTCTAACGCGATATTCTAGACGATGTTTGAATAACATTCTGGTTTTATCCTTCAGAAACTGCTGGAGGTGTACAGCAGCCTGTTCTTTCCCCCGCTGGCTCTGATCGTCGTCAACGACAACTCGGTGCGCTGTAAGAAAATGGCCGCCATGGCCATTAAGACGCTGCTCGGCCAGCTGGACGCAGACCACCAGAACGTGCTGTACTCCTATGTCAACACCTGGCTCACTGCAGAAAAGGTGCTGAAGTATTCACACCTCTGAGCTTTTCCACATTTAGTCACAAATGTTTTATTTTCTTTTTTGTTTTGTTTTTTTGTGGTATGTGGTCGATTTCCTTCATTTTGAGAGATTGGAGATCAACCAATACTTACAGTAGAAACCAAATATAAAAAGACACACATCGTCTGGAGTTAAGTGTAATCAAGCCTCTCTTGTTTTAGATCAAAATTACCCAAATCATTTCTATTTTCTAAATGCCAGAAAACTTTGTAGCTTCTCTTGAATGTATAAGTTTACCTACATTTTGGTAAGAATCAGGGATAAATGTGCTTTAAACAAAATTGATCAAAATTGGAATCAGCAGGTCAGGCTCTCTAAAAATCTGTGATTGGCCACAAAACCTCAATCTGTGCATTCCTAGAATTTACATAATTGAGCAACTCATTGTTGCGCTCAGTTTTCTTCTTTTTAGGTGACTATAAATGCGCATAATTCTCATAAGCCAAAGATTTTGCACCCCACATCACAATTATTCCCTTCTTTGTATTGATTCATTACCTAAAAACCCCAATAAAGTACAATAGTTTGTAGCTTTAGTGCAACAAAAGTGGAAAAGTTATGGAACTATTTGTAACTATGAGATTTGAAGACCTCGCGGTTATTTGTCACATCCTTTTTAAAAGCTGCGTCGATGTTTTCTTCTTCAGGCTACACTGCGGCGTGTCGGAGTCCTGGTTTGCGGCTTGTTTGTGGAGATGGAGGAGGAGAAATTCTGCAGTCGGTTGGACGACCTACTACCTCTGCTGGAGAAAGAGATCCACCCTGACGCCTATGAAGATGTGAGTAAACACACAACAGGAAGTCAGTGCCTCCTTGAAAAGTCTTTCATTCGTGTGTCTAAAGTTAAGGACTTAAAATGTCCTAAATTCATTTTTAAAAAGTAGTTTGATCACAGGTCTTAAACTTTGTTTTGACAGGACTATTTAAACCTGCGTATTCTGTGTATTTTTTTTTCTTGTGAGACATTTTTTGTCGGGCAAAAGTTTTAAGTCGCACTCAGACGTTTTCAGTTCATTCTGTGACTTGAGACGGCTAACATACACTTGCCAAGTAGCTACAGAAATTTGTACGTTTTCGTGGAGATATAGGTCTTAAATTCCATTCATGATGGTCCTAATTTTGAGTTGGTGGAAGCAAAAGGATGGAAGAATTGTAAAGGATCTTCACGTCTTCCCTTCAGATTGATGAGGTTGAGGAGGAGAAAGGAGCCGACCGGCTGCTGTTCAGTTATCTCACCCTCATCTCCAAATTAAACAAACACTGCGGCCTGCTGGAGCTCAGGGAGCCTCGCGACACACTTCTTCACATCTGGGGTAAGCACGTTACAGACGCGTCGCCCTCTTTCCAAACGAGCTCGCCCTTGAACCCCCCTCAAACCCTTCTCAGGTCACGTGGAAGCCCACCTGCGGCACCCTCACTGCTGGGTGTGGCTCACCGCCTCGCAGCTCTTCGGTCAGCTCTTCGCGGCTCAGCCGGCCGAGCAGTTGGTCGCCGTTTGGAGGGGAAGGAAAGGAGACGCCTCGTCTCAGCCGGCGGCTGTAGACTTCATCACCAACAACCTTGACAAGAAGGTGAGCCCAACATCACTTTGTGTGCTTCGCATCCATCTTAAATTTCTGCATCTCACTTCCGCTGTCCTTCCATTTCCAGATGAGAGAGTTGGCGTTGAGCTTCAGCAGCCAGCTGCAGTCCAAGTTCCTGGACACGGCGTCGGGAGAGCAGGTACACAGTTACGCCTGAAACGTCGAGTTTAACTTCTGCAGCTTGTCCTGGCTTATAAGTGTCTGACTTCCTGTTCACAGGTGATCAAAAACCTTGTCTTTGTTGGAAAGGTGATTTACCTCATCTCCCCAGAGTCTCACATCACCTCTCTGGAAGAGGGGAAAAATGAGACGGAAAACGGAGAGGACGGCAATCAAGATGACGGCGATCACGAAGAAGAACAGGAAGTGGAGGAGGAAGAAGAGGTTGATGATGAAAAAGATAACAGGCCTCCTTCTTTGCTGTGGCTCATGAAGAAGCTGTCTCTGATGGCGAAGAGAGAAGCGGCATACGCTCCTAAGGTTCCTCTCAAGGTGAGCAGATAGTCAGGTTCATCTTCAGCGTCAATCTTCACTTTTGGCCACAGATTATTACGAGATTATCAATAAATGTCAGTTTTTATATATATTTAAAATATCTTCTAGTTTCATTCTTCACAAAAGTAAACTTTTAGTGACTGAATCACTTTTATTATGACATTTTCAAAATATTAGTTGGATGTTATCTTTAATGCAATAATTACTGGGATAATTTATTGTTCTGCAAAACATAGTCATAAAAATTTTTTGTTTTATTCAGCATCTTTTTCATAATTAAAACACTATCCCAATAAAAAAAAAAAAACATTAAATTATACAAAGATGAACAATAAAATCAAAACTTGTCAACTAAAAAAAACATACAAAATCCAAGCAACCATATGGCAACATGTAAAGGCCCCCGCTGATGAAAAGCAGCCCCACATCATGATGCTGCCACCACTGTAGGGAGGGTGTTTATGATTGGACAAAATGTGAAAATAGTTGAAGGGCTTTGACTAGTGTGACATTTCATCGCCTCATACCTCTCGTCTGTTGCTTTTTCCCAACAGAGAACGTGTGTGTTTAAGTTCCTGGGAGCCACAGCAGTGGACCTGGGGAAGGAACGCCTCGGCCCCTACCTCACCACCATCATCACTCCTCTGTACAGAGAGCTGGACAGCACATATGCCGAGCAAGGTCTCCGTCTGACTGGCAAAGAGTAAACGGAAAATACAAGAAAGGTAGTCTTGGTAGAGTTAAGTCCATATTTCTCCATTCTCTCCAGATCCAACCTTGAAGAACTTGGCGCAGGAGCTGATTGAGCTGCTGAAGAAGCAGGTGGGGCTGGAGAGATTCTCCCTGGCCTTCTCCGCCGTCCAGAAGGAGTTCTCACAGAGGCGAGCGGCTCGCAAGAGACACAGAGCCATGCAGGTATGGTGAGCGCCGGACCCAAGATGTACAAGGTTTCACTGGTACGTCGCGTTTTAATATCTGCTCTCCATCACGCAGGCGGTGGCCAACCCAGACATTGCCGCCAAGAAGAAACTTAAGAAGAACAAGAAAAAAATTGAAGCCAAGAAGAGAAAAATTGAGATCCTCCGGCCTGGATATAAAGCCAAGAAGCATCGCAGTCATGCGCTCAAAGACCTGGCGATGGTGCAGTGAGCGTTACACATGGGACTGAAATCTGACTCCAAGCAGGTCTAGCTGGGATCTGGTATGGCCTGCTGCGTTTTTAGATCTTCTGTTGTTACAGTGTGACCGATGCCCTGCGGCCTTAGCACATGGAATCATGTAAATAATAGATCAAAGACAATTTTATTTTCCGCTGTGGATCAATAACGGGATTGTCATAATCTACGGTTTTGTAAAAGAGAAATAAACCAACATGTTTACAGAGCACAGTGGAATTCATTCTCATAGCTGAGATTAGTTAGATAAGCTTAATTATAATGTCAACCAAGAACTGGTCGTAAACGTTCGAGCTGCTTTACTTCCGAAATGCATTCTGGATAATTTTCCGATACATTCAGGAAGTGAGCTGGGATCGGGGAACCACTGCGCCTCTAGTGGTCATTCAATCAACTGCAATTTTCAGCTTTGGTCTTTACAGGATGTCTGCACGTCATTCATTTAAATTCATTAAATTACAAGCCGTTCTTAAATATATCAATTCCAGGTATTTTTTTTGTCGCGGCACGAGTAGTTAATCTTGTACATGTAGTTTTTTTATCCTTGCGGAACTTTTGTGTGGTTGGGAGTCGCGCGCGATTGAGGCCACCGCTAACTAGTCATGCTAGCTAGCTAGCTTTCCTGCGTCATCCTGGGTAAGTACAAATTTGTCACGTTTGTCGAACGTCGACTTTTGTTTTTGCCACCGACTTACTTCTGCCACCAACCCATACGAGATTATGTAGGTTCTATGCCTTAGAAAATAAAATAATCTCCGAGAGGTTACGGCATGAGAAACAAAATCTCCTTTTGGGACGCAGCAGTATCTCCCAGCACTTCGCTGTATTTACAAATTTTCCGGTTTTAAATTTGAGTTGCTTAAACCTGCTATGCTATTAATTATTAGGAATAAATATAATAAAGTTTCAATACAATAAGGTACTTCACGCTCTACTTAGAATCAATTTTACTGTACAAGCAGGTATAAATGTGCAACCATAAAACTTTGAGCATACAGTTAGTGTTCAATGACTAATGAACTAAACATCCCGAAGCTGCACTCAAATGATTCCAACCACTAGAATAATTGAAACAAGTCAGTAGGAAGAAAAAAAAAACAGAAATCCATAACAAAGCAGACAGCCCGGGCTGCAGTAACATTGGCTAAAAGACCGACTCCAGAAACATAAGCCATGTTTATTGTGTGCCGCTTTATCTCCCCCTGGTGGATCTTCTTGTCACTGACATTGGAGCTCATTAAGTCCAAATAACAGGAGTTGATTCTTGAGGTTGTCATGTAACACAGGGATTTACTTTCAAATTATCTGTGCTGACTCCAGATGTTACTGCAGCCTTCTCTTCTCAGTCCCAGGCTTAAAAGGCGTTAGGCGTTGGGAGGACTTGGTCAAGGCTTTATGTGGGTGTATGCCTGGAGGAGGAGTGCAATCACTGGTCCAAAGAAAAGTAGGGGAATGAGCAGGGGTCATTCACAAGGCTTCAAAGCGAGGGGGTCAAAGTTTAGGAGTATATACAGGATGGGACTCCTCCTCTTACTGCCGACTTTTCAGGGCATCCACCAACCTACAGGGACAAAGCAAATATAATTCAACCTGAGTAAACAACAGTCGAGTCAATACAAGTTGGTCCTGCTTAGCTAGAAATACATGTACAAACAGAAGCTAGCTCTGGAAATGTAGCTTACCACTCCATGGCCTCATCCAGGCCTGTTCCTTTGGTGGCTGAGGTCTTGAAGATCTGCCACTTCCTGTCTTTGAGGGCTGGAAGGCCCAGAGCGTTGGCCACTTCAGTCGGTGTCATTGCCTGGTCCATGTCCTGTTTGTTGGCGAACACCACCAGGATGGCTTTCTTTAGCTCTTCTTCCTGCAAACGTGAGGAATTGAATGTGAGAAATTGAAAGCGGTGTGGATACTTTTAAATAATTCTCATGGCAAAAATTTTGCGTAGCGGATGTATTTACCTCCAACATGGCCACCAGCTCTGACTTGGAGATGCCCATCCTGTCACGGTCGCTGCTGTCGACCACATAGATCACAGCGTCTGTGTTTGAGTAATAGCACCGCCAGTAGGGTCTGGAGAGGAGAGAGATGTTAGAGGGGTGACAGAACTTGTCATTGACGTGAAAAATAAATGTGAATCAAATCCAAAACCTCATAATCTCTACTCTTCAACAACATGAGCATTTCCAGTAGCCTCCCGCATACCTGATGCTGGTCTGTCCTCCCAGATCCCACACCTGGAACTTCAGGTTCTTGTATGTGACTGTCTCAACATTGAAACCAATAGCTGCAGAGGGACGAAGAGAGAATATAAGTTATCTGAGAGTGCTGCACACACTCTGTTTCTAAACTCAGTTGCCTGGGAAAACTTCATCAGAAATAATAAAAATATATGTAGGGCACCTACATATAAGCGAAAATCATGACTGCGATAATATAACTATAAACCAGTAAAACAAGATTCTCCGGCTATAGAAAATGCTTGCCACAGGCTCATTTTTGTGTGTGCGTTCATTACAGGAATCAAAATTTGAAAGCTAAATTTAGGCACAAGGACATAGGAAGGAGCAGTACATACTAGGAATCGTGGTCACCACTTCTCCAACCTGCAGTCTGTACAGAATGGTGGTTTTCCCTGCGCCGTCCAAGCCCAGGATTAAAATCCTCATCTCCCTGGTGCCAAACAGACCAGAAAAGAGACTGGAGAAGAAACCCCCTGGAGAGGAAACACAGCATACACGGTACTTTGATGAAATCAGCTGAGTTAGCTGATTGATTTTATTCATTTAGTTTTTTAACAGTTTAATACCATTTAAAAATAATACACAAGACGTATCTATAGAAGCAATAGGGTGCACTAATACAAGCATTTTTGACAAGACTCCATCACTCACGCAAGCTCAGGTTAGCTCCCAGTCCCTAGCTGACAGCATTATGGTTTTAAGACATAATTTCGTTCTTTATAACTCACTGACAGCTTCTGAGTAGAAAGGCCAGAATATAAGCTAAATACCGCAAAGAAAAACCGTTAACATCTGAACAACAGAATAAAATGAACACTATAAACAACTAGCCATTAGCATTAGCTAAGCAGGCTGACATTAGCTGCAGCTCGCGCTAAAGCGCGGAAGCAGAACGAGAACGCAAATATAGCTCCGTTGAATATGTTGTACGTATAACTTTCAATGTATGCTGTTGAAAAATATCCAGTTTAATAAAGGAACAACTGAATTGCTCACCCATTTCGCCAAAATCTCGTTCCTCGAATTGTCAATGTGCAGTTGCCAGGTTGGTTCCGTCTGGCTGACGTGTCGCTGGAAGACGTCACGAACTCTCGCGTGGATTTGCTCGCAACATTCGTCACATAACCACAGCGACATTTTTATGGTATGTGAAGTAAGCAAAACACTTGTCGAGACAATTAAAATAAAATACAATTTCGTAATAAAATAACTTGCATGCATTACCTTTTAAAACTTTTTAAATTAAATTTGTGGGTGCGCGGCTTAGTGGGGAGCGAATATTTCCGTCGAAAGTGTGGCTAGAGAACAGAACGATGTACCGACCGACCGTTGTTTAAGGGGGTGCGTTCAAGAAGTTAAACAGGAGCCGCGTTTCGAAATGTTCAATTCAGTGGGAGCGAGACATTCGTATGGGTTTTGAATGCAGCTCGCATCAGTCGAAGGAGTTGCCCTGTCTAAACAGCATCAAATTTATGATCACTGAAGATTAGAAAGGTTTCCAAGGTAAGCGTGAAAAGTGGTGCGCGTTGTGTGAATTTAAAGCAAAATGCAACCTTGGTGAGCAGTTTGCAGTAACTTTAATCTGCGGGGAACGCGCTCTGACTTGTGATTATCCACGGATGGACCTGGCGGCTGTCGCCTGAGATCATCGTTTGTGATCGGCGGAGAGACCGACGCCGACAAGCAGGATGGTAGAGCGGTCGGACCGAGCGCCTCTGTTGGACTGGGAGGAAATCCCGTCCGTGGAGAAACCCGGCGGCGATCCCCCGGCGACGACTCCCTCCGAGGAGCGACTGTCGAGCCCGTCCGACAGCCGCGGCACGGCGGGATGCTCGGGGTTTGGGTGGAGCAGTGGACCTGGGGGTCCCACTCCGCCCAGCAGGTCCGAAGCAGACGGCTGCAGTGCCCCGCCTGCGACCTCCACCGCCCCGCCGGCGGCCCCGGAACGAGCGCTGCCGCCCGACGAGGAGGAGCATCTCTCGGATTCAGGGACGAGGGAAGCGTCGCTGGAGGACAGGATGGTGAAGTGGGAGGAAAAGGACCAGATCGTGTCTGTCTTTGTAGTTGCATTTAATACCAGAACAGGTGAGATAGCTAATACGTACACATTGTTTTCAGAAAAGCATGAAATATTCTGAGTGAATTAATTAATTGAGGATTATGTGTCATTTAGAACCATCCTTTCCAGGCATGATATCTAGAATAAAATAAGCGCCTGTCAGAGCAAAGTCTGCAGATCATTCTCCCACAGGTGTGGCTTTTCCTGATCTCTCTCTCCAAGTTTAAAGACAAAGTCGAAAGTCACGACTCATTTTCCCTTGCCAGATCAGCGGGAGGTTGACCAAATGTCAGGATAAGTGACATAAATCAATCAGGCGTCGCCTTCAGCAGGAGGTAACCCATACATTTTTAATAAGGGCTGTCTTGAAGATTGGCAGAGCCCTGGTGAATCACTTGCCAGATGGATAGCTTAGTCTGAGGCCAAATCAAACAGAATCAATGGATGATGGAGAAAAGCTGCTCTGAATGGAGGACAGGAAATTTCCTGCAGGGTGGAGCTGGGCTCTTTTATGGTTTTGCGGCATGTGAGGCTGACATGACAAGCAGGTTGCTACTGTCATGCTTGTTCAGTAAGAAGGAATCATTACTGTGTAATTACCACTGTATGTCACAATCTTAGGTGAGAAAAACGCAAGTAAGAAGAGTGAAGACTCAATATTACAATGAGCCTCCAGCCCACTAATGCCATGAATCTACAGCGTTTAACAATAACAATCAACGTACATCTAGTAAATCATTGCATTATTGAAAAAGCATCATTTTTAACAAAAGAAAACAAAAATTTGATCACGGAGCTCAGATTTCTTCACAAGACTTCCAAAAGCACCTTTATAGTATCAGATGAACAATTTGAAATCACACCTTGTATAAAGTTGCATCTTACAAAAAAAACAAAAAAAGAAAGAATTAACATTTAAGTAATGTTTCTGGGGCAAGGAAAATTGTTTATTTTTTTTAAAATGTCAGAGCTGGCTTTGTCTCAGTGTAACAGATGGTCCAGAATGACACTCTTTAGAACAAGAATGTCTGATTTTTATTATTTATTTCTTAATGTTAACAAAAGGCACCTGTTGTTGAGCTAAAAAAAACAAACAAAAAAAACATTTTGATCGGATTTCAGTAAAGAAAAGCAAATCAGAACAAAACTAAAGTGTATTGCAACAGTATTTCTGCTTTTTCACAGTCGGTTGCCTAACAACAATAAAGTTCCACACAGTTTATTAGGATTTTGTACAGTAGACCAACACAAAAAAGTGTGAATTGGAAGGAAAAGGATACATCTTTGCACATCTATTGATTCATATTTTTGTCTCGTCTTTTAGATTGTGTCAATGCTTTTCTAAGTCTGTCACTGAGACTTTTATTTGGCTTTTATTGGATTTATTGCTCCATCCATCTTTCCCTCAACTATAATTATCTGCCATAAAATGAAAACAAAAGCTTCCAGTTAGATGCTGATCTAAAGGTGCAAATTGTTTCAATATTATTTTATTATAAGGAAACAATCTATTTTTAAGGGTTAAAAACCAGTCGTTCTATTTGAAACAGTGGATTTGAATTTAAGTATCAAAGTAAATGGAGCTGGGAAAAAAATGTACACCACACTTTTCAGACAGTCTTTGCTTTTATCTTCTTAAAAAAAATTGCGTCGTTCCACTTTACAAATAAGTCTTGCTTTTTGTTGTCTATCGCATAAAATTTCATTAAAACATTTTGTAGTTTGTGGAGGTGAAAAATAAAATATAAATAAAAGTTTATTGATAAACCAGCTCATATTCCTGCAGAAGGTTGTTTGACTGACGCACGTAAGCGAACGCAGTCAACTCGCTGAGTCACTTTCTCTGTCCGTCTGCACCTGCCAGGCCCGGTCTGCTCAGCCAAAGCTCACGACGATTTCCGCGTGCCGTTTAGCTCCTGAATACGAATGTGCCTGTCTGTCTGCGTGTGACACAGGTAACATGTTGGAGTGGTGTCTACCCAAAGACATGGACCTGGAGGGAGTGGAGTTCAAAGCCATCGCCAGCGGCTCTCACCGAGTCAGCACGGACTTCATGTGAGTGGCTCTATTTGCAGGCAAACAAACAGAGTAAGCCAGCTTCAAATATTAGAATGCGGCCCCAGAACCCTCCACCCGCCCCACATCCCGTCCTGGCAAAGTGCTGTCTGGCGCAGCCATCTGGCAATGCCTTCGCTCCTCCCTGACTCACTGCCTCATCTTCCAACCCCACATCTTTCCTCCTTCTGCAGCTACTTCCGGAAAGGCCGCTACTTCGGCCTCGCCTGCTTCGCCAACATGGCGGTGGAGAGCACCGAGGAGAGGGGGGCCCGGATGAAGTCGGTGGGGATCCTGTCTCCATCCTACACTCTGCTCTACCGCTACATGAGCTTCCTGGAGCACCAGGTCAGGTGAGGAGGACTGTCTTTAACGGCAAACTCTCCGAAAGCAGCAGCTTCTAGATTCAACCAAAGTCTTACGTTACCTTCCTCTTTTGGTGGAGATCAACATTGTGACATGGCTGTTACACTGTCAAGATTACATTAAAACTGCTGACTCACTTTCTAATTATGACTGACTTGTAATCACAAACTCGTCTTTCACTTGCCCATGCTCGTAGGAGACACCTTAAGTACACATTCACACCCGGAAACCTGAGCTGGTCTGCTCACTGAAGAGTTGTGCCGAGATCAGCTGGGGTTAAAAGTCTTAATGTAGGGCATTAGGGTGGCTTTAGTGTCTAGTTAAAACATTCACACTATTAACTTCAGCGTGTTTTACTGGAATTTTATTTGTCGGACCATCGACAGACAGGTTATATTTATGATGTGGGAGGAGAATGGTGCGTCAAAGTTATTCACTAAAATCTGAGGTGTTCAACTAAAACCCCTTTACTCTAATCCCTTCAATTAAAACCGAGTGCCTCTAGAAGTCATATATTTTGCGAAGACAGAGGAACACATCAAATAGGTCAGGAATAAAATGTTGTTCTAGGACAATTATTAATCATGTTCTGGTCAGACAAAAAAAAGAGACTGTTCTAAAGGTTCAACATGGTGGTGGGAGCATCATCCTGTGGGAAAGTTTTTATTTCAGTTGGAAGTTGCAAAAGATTTGAGATTGGGGCAGAGGTTGGTAAACAGTCTACTCAAGTTATGAATAATTGATCAAATTATCAATCATTTGATATTTAAAAATTAGATATTAATTTTTTTCTTTTTTTGGGGGGGAGGGGAGGTTAAGGACAAACATAACAATATTTCATGTAAGTAGCAAAAAAAATAATGCATCATGTTATCTCATAAAATTCCAACGAGGTACGTTCAAGTTTGTGGCTGTAACGTGACAAAGAAAATTACAAGATGTATAAATACCTTGGTATTTGTACAAAGATTATAGATAACATTTCTATCTTTCCTTGAGTGATCTGATGCTGGAAGCGTCAGTATTTCAGTCTTTTTACATTTTGATCTGGACAAAAGGTAATAGAAACCCCTTCAGACGACTTTCTACTTCTGCTTTCTTTAGACTCTCAATGCCCGACTCACACTTCCTTTTCTCAGTTGAACACACCGCTCTCTCCACATTCAACTTCTCTTTTCTCCCTCTTTTTCTTCTTGCACGGTTCCCACACTGTGGCCTCCAGTCATGCAGCGCTCATGCTCATCATTCCCCCACATATCTCTCTCCAGATTCCCCCATCTGACGGCTGCTCTGGTAGTCGTTGCTCCTCGTACAAAGGGCGTGCTGTTGGTCACGGTGTGACTCAAACGTTAAGGAATTTCTCTGGTTTCTTCTCTCTTCCTGACAGTTGAGAGCTGAAATCCTTTTTTTGCTCTTAGAGTAGTTATGGGGGAAAATGGCGACAGTCAGACAAAGAACAAGTAGAGGAACTTAGGTAACTGTTTGGAAATGTTTGGTGTGAGAGAAAACTACGCAAGACTGGTGCAAGGGCAGGGCATGTAGGAAACAGTGAGGCAGTGGTGAGGTGTGCGGTGAGGGCGACTGGCTGGTGCAAGGCAGGCTTTGGATGCATTAAGGATTTTTTCCCCCATATATTTTAAAAAACTGTCTAAGAAATGGCCACAAAGTTTCTTTGTAAATGTAAATATCTGAGATCTGTTTTTTTTTTTTTACCATTTAAAGTAACTGATAAAATAATCTTTGACATTAACTATGAAGCTGCAATAACAGTAATGTTTTCAGTCCTGCTTTAAAGTCGCCAACAATTTCTCTCCACATCTAACAAAGGCATTTTTGGAGCCCAGCAAATTAAATGCATTCTTTGAACTTTAATGCTGGTCATTGGAGTATGGAACAGCCACCATTATAAAAGGTTTAAACTATTGGAAATAAAAGTGTGCACAATTTTTTTCCTGTCCTTTTTTGACAGGCAGCCTCTTCAGACCCCTATCCTTCTGTTTTCTTGAACCAAAAACAATAAATCTCTCTAGGGTTTCATCTGGCTCAGTGACTGTTGTCATGTGGTAAATGCTATGCGTTACTCATGGTAAGAGATGCCGTAACACATGATATAGGAGGAGCAAACAGATTTGAAATAAAATGGACAGAGTATGAATCCTTGAGGAACACCACATGTGAGGTTCAGTAAAATAAAAACAGAAGTTTTTTGGCAGTATTATACATGTATAAACAATTTTTTTTTTTTTTTTTGCTTCTAAAAGGATTTTACATCTCTTATATGTTTTTGCTGTTCTCATAGAGGTTTTTGTCATTTCTCTTTGCTGTGGCCGGATATTTTTTCCAGCCTGACTTTCACCCCGTCAGTCTGTTGTTACCAGGTCACAGTCAAATTCATTTTTGTAATTAAGTCCTGCGGCTGACCTGCTCACTTGTCTCACAATGCTCCTGCAATGAGGAGCGAATCTTAACCCGGCGTTTTCCGGTTTTAATTTTCCTGAGACAATGTTTTTGTTATTGTCTTCAGTTTGTTGTCGTTCGGCGACGTGCAGGCGGAACGTCGTGATTTTTGTCAGCCGCAGTCAAAACAGCTTTGCTCCAGGACCTGAAGCCATCTGTCCACACACTGATTAGTGCTCTCGTTTTTAGCGCTGAGTCGGAATAACACGGCCAGTATACACGATTTGATATGTGATTCAGCTCATACTGAAGTGTACCACCCACAAATATTTGCCCGTGGCCGTAAAAGCTTCAGAGTTTATATTTATTATATTTTTTCCGGTCTAGATGTCTCTTGAGGCCATTTCTTCTCTTTTCCACAGGCTCCAGCTTCAGTCCCCGGGACACTACTCACCCCTGGAGGCCTTTTATGAGGACAAGAGGGCGCTACTGCCCCCCAGTGGAGAGAATGTTGTAACCGCATTCCCAGCCAACGCATGGGGAGCTGCGATTAACCACAGCATGCACCCTGAGATGAAGGTAGGAGAGATCTTCACATTTCTATGACAATAATATGGTTTACTTTTTTTTTCTTTTCAGATGATGCATCTTTCCGTATGTTTCAGTAGTATCTGCCTGTGTTTATGTTTCCGATAGATCACTCATCCAGCAGGCTGCATGTCCCAGTTTATCCGCTTCTTCGGGGAACAGATCATGGTCCTTTGGAAACTGGCTCTCCTCCGAAGGCGGATCCTCATCTTCTCTCCTCCGCCAGTGGGTGTGGTCTGCTACAGAGGTGGGAAACGTGCTGATAAAAACGTCCCACACTATCGAAAGCTGCGTCAATTCTTCTGTTTCCCGTCCTCTGTCAGTGTACTGCTGCTGTTGCCTGGCCAACATCTCCATCCCCGGTGTCGGCGTGGCAGTACCCGAGTTCCGGCCTTTCTTCTACGTTAACGTCGCCGACATCAGCGCCCTGGAAAACGAGCTTTCCTATGTAGCATGTGAGTGGATTCCCGAAACGTTTCGCACCAAACGAGGAAGTTGATGGTAACCGGGCACGGGACATGTTTGCATGTTCAGGTACGACTGAGAAGATCTTCGAGGAGAAGAAAGATCTGTATGACGTGTATGTTGATAATCAGAATGTGAAGACCTACAGAGACGGGCTGAAGCCTCTGCTGCGCCTCAGCGCCGCCGACAGAGAGAAGTATCGCAAGCTCACTGAGCAGAGGTAGGAGACCGAGACCGAAATTGTTGTGTCTTGGAAAACTATTAATACGCCTTTGACGGGTGATGGGCACTGTTAGCCATACATATAAAAACTGGCTGCTAACAGATTATACAACCGCACATGTTTGAAAAGCAAAAGTGGAGGCTCCTGCACAACCAAGTAGAATTCAGAAAGTGGCTTCTGAATGGTAAGTCCTCAACGAAACAGATGTAAAACCAGCTGACCAAAAAATGCTGGAGCTCGATTTTGACAGCGCGGTTCACATCGAATGTGACTCTACATTCCAGACTTATTTGAAACGGCTCGTTTTCCAGACACCAATTGCTTTGAGACCCGAGTGAAAATATAAAAACGTGCAGAAAGTGCATTTTGCATAAAAGCAGTATGACTACTTTATATTCTTAGGAGCGTGCTTTAAGGAAATGTCTGTTGTAGTGGGACCATAAATAAGTGTCTGTGTCTGTAGGCAGATGTTGCTGTATTCCCAGGAGGAAAATGGAGACTGTGTCTCCAGCGAAGAGGATCTTTTTATTTTGTAAGTACATCATAAATGTTTATTAGCCCCTTTTTAAATTACAATCCTGGATGCAGCTTAACGTTAAATCCACCCTTGAGTTCTTGTTTTTATTACAACTAACGCAAATCAGTGTTTCTGACCAACAGAGCAAAACTAACCAAGGGGGGAAAACAGAGAACAGTGTTTAAAAAAAGTGGAAGGTTCATGGAAATTCTCGTTTTGTTTTACTTCTGAAGGTTTTTCCTGGAGCAGAACAACAGGATTTTCCAGACTCTGAGCGAGGTGGCAGGGAGCCCGGATCCCACCGTCACCCAGGACAGCGTGAGGGCCATGGGTCTGGATCCCCATGGAGACAGACTCTTCCTGCTCCACCTGCTGGAAATCTACGGCTATGACAGTCTGCTGGTTTCAGAGCAGCTGTGCTGCAGCTGATTGTTTTTATTGTTTTGGTTTTTTTTTTTCTTCTCTGTCATCACTGCTGGTTTAACACAGGGGCCCTATCTGCCTCTGACTGCTGCTCCACTGGCTTTGGGACTCTGTTGAAGGCACCTTGCTGTAATGTTTGGTCTACTGAGACTCTCCTCCATGACAGCCAGATCGTCTGAACTCAGTGGTACCGACAAAAACGTGGTAAATCCTACTTAGCAGAGCCTTGTGGAGATTTCCATTCAGCTGTTGTGTTTGATATCAATACTGAGCCATGTCCCCCCCCCACACCCCCAGACTGTTTAAATGTTTGACTAGATAAACAAAAACCGAACCGCACTTCAAACGTATTAAGCCAGCAAGTTTTACAGTACGAAAGGTAACTAGAGGTGGGGGTCCTGTAAATAAGGCTGACTTGTCTATGATCTGCGTGTCAGTGTATGTTTGTGATATCAGGTCTGAATCTCTGCCAGTGTTGCACTTCTTGTACCGTGTGCTGGATTGTAAAGAGACACTTTTTTGCCCAGGTGATCCAAATTAGGGCTCAAGGTCTTTGGCCGACTCGTCAAACTGCCGTCGCCTTCACCAAGTACGTCTGTAACATCACCAACCAAGTGACACTTAGTGACACAACGTATGTCTGAGAGGAGAGCGTTTTAAAGACACAAAGGCAGGTCGGTTCTAGAGATGTGTTGATGTTTATTTTTTGCACTTTTAGACATTAGGAGTCAAGCTTTGAGATGAATCCTATCAACATACAAGGCCAATTTAGCTCCATGAGGAAGAATCATTTTGTCATTGACCAAAAAAATAAATAAATAAAATTTTCAGAGCAAAAACAAAAAGCACTGAAAGCATCCATTTCTATTACAATGTAATGGAAAAAGTAGACTATTTGAATGGAGATTTATGTAGCTCAACAGCTCCCTCTGGCTTGTGTTAGATGTATTGCACGATTAAGATCCGAGATGTTCAACCTCTTCGCTTCTCCGCTAAGGTTATTTTCCATTGACGTTTTCAGTTACTTGAAGGTAACTGTTAATTCTGCATAAAGAATAGAAAATGACAGCTAATAAATGTGATTTTATATCAACCCCAGTGAGAATCTGGGAGTGGATAGTTACTGCAGCTTCTTTTGCGCTACAAGTAATCTGTAATAATATACAGTGCCTTGCAAAATTAGGTGTACTCCTTAAGCGTTTCCACATTTTTGTCACATTGCAAACAGAAACCTCAGTGTAGTTTATAAGTATTTTTATGTTTTAGCTTCGTTGCAGGGTTAACACAAAATCAGTCAGGATGAATGCGAGTCTTACCACAGATTTCCATATAGATTCACATCTGGAGTTTGACTAGCCCTCCCCAATGAATGAATACAATTGATCTGCATTTAGCTCAATTGATTAAAAAAAAAGGTAGACATTTTGGAGCAAACCATTACCTGTCTGGTGTATTCCTTAGCGCTTGAAACAAATAGAGGTATTCGGGATGCTCTGGATTTTACTTAGATTTAGTTACATAGCGCACTTAATGAAATACTTGCCACACGTTTCAGCTTTTGCTATTGTGTGCAGCACACATAAAATTAGACAACACACAGAATTATGTGAATTATGTGGCTAAAATGTGAAAATGTTTGAGGTGTATAAAACCAGTACGCCACTGTATAGCCGCACAGCTTTTAACTTTCGGTCACTTTTAAAGGTTCGTCTGCATAGTTTTAGAAATCACACTCCAGCCGCCTCAAAATGTGTTTCAGAATAATCGTCTGTAGATGAAAACACACCCATTTATTTTAGATACATAAAGACATGCTGCGCTGTAAGATAACCCGGAGCGTTTCGTCAGTGTCCTGCATTAACCATGAGATCCAGAGGTCTAACTCAGTGATTCTTTTTCTATTTTAGTTTTATCTGTAAAATATTAAATGTGAATCTAAATGTGTTTTTATGTAAAGAAATGGGATCAGCTGAATGCGTTTTATACAGCAACAATGATCTCCCTGAGCCTCCATGTACATCAGACCCACATACCTGTACACTGTCAGAAAACATTCCCACGTCTCGCCAACTAAAGCTGCCTGTACAAAGCAGAAGCAAACATCTTTGTAGTGAAGGATAGTCTGAGTCATGTTAAAAACACCTTTGCTTTATTTATTTTCACCGTCAATCGTGTCAGAAATAAAGTGCACAACCACTTTTAATAAAAATTCTTGTCTTGCTCTTATTTCAAATATTCCTTTATCTGTTAATGTCCGTGCTTTTAAGATTGTTTCCCCACAGTGAGGATTTCCTGTTTCCATGGATCACAAATGTCTCATCACGGCCAGTTTAAGTACGGTCAACCAGTTCTGTTTCACATCCGGATCGTCGCAGGAGAACACGTGGCTGGTGTTGGACTGTTTGAGACTGAACTGATTCTGATCCTGCAGCTCCTCGATCACACAGCTGAGTAACGGTACGGTGAGCAGCGGCTTCTCATCCTGGACACAAGGGAGGGAAAGAAAGGACCAACCATGGCTGTCACTGTAGAAGAAATATCAAACAGAATAACCACTTCCATTTGGCAAAATTCCTCATACTGGAGTGTCTAAGCTGCACAAACCTTCAGCAAAAAAGTTGAAGTAGTAGAAACTGAATGAAATAAAATGCTGAATATTACAGGATTTGAAAATTACATTCACTTCGAACAAGTTTTGAACATTTTACTGTGAATGTCTGAGGATTTTCGAGAATATTTTCTGAATTGAATGAGGCTCCTGGGGAAATAAAGCTTTTCTCCTTCTACCTTCAGATAAATTGAAATAATCCACAGCAGTGATGTGTTTTTTACTAATTATTGAGAAAGATCTAATAGTCATAAATAAATCTACATATCTCTGGGAAAACGGTTTCTTAAAAGCTCAGAGTTTTGTTTAGTGCTGTGACATTTTGGTCACAACAGTGACTGATTTGTCAAATAAAGGGTCAAAGATCATGTTTTTCCTCGCTGATGGTGCCTTCCTTATCACAATAATATAATCAAACTCTAAAAATGTCAACACCAGCTGTTCATTACTACTGTAGAAAAACATTTTTTCTACCAGCCTCTGCACACAACTATTTCAGCACTTTGAAATAGTTGTGTGCAGCGGCTCGTGTTCTTAATTTACTGTGCAATATTTCAAACAAACATAATATTACCAATGTGTAAAAATCCTTAAAATGAATTCGTCTTTTCATACAGTAGAAAAAGAAAAAAAGAATCTCTGTTGCATTTGTAAATATTCTTCAAGACATCTCATTAAAGACAATTACCTTTATCAAATGTGCCTTTTTTAAAAGTGTTTTGTATTTATTCATCTATAGTGACAATAAATAAAAGATTGTATACAGATAAACTGATGGATACCTGTGGATTATTGTACACTTGGAAAGATGGATGATGAGTCCCACTGAGAACACACCATACTTCCTGCCAAATCGGGGAGTTGTCTCCATACTCTAGGAACCCACTCAGAACACAGTCCATTGATCCTGGATATGCTTCACCCTGGGATAAAACCAAAAACAAAACTTAGATCAGAATGTTGCAGGATTTTCTTTCAATAATCTGGTAACATAAATGTTGCTGTAAGCTGCAGCTGGACAGGGGAAACTTGAAGCAGAAGAAAACGCAATCCGACATTACAGAACATCCTACCTCCAACATTCTTCTCTTTTTTCGCTCCATCCTCTCGGCTCTCTGGCTAGCCAGGATGGAGTAACAAGCTTTGCACACTTTGTTCAGCCTGTTGCCGTCGTACTCTAAAGGCACTTTGTTGTCTGAACACTTCCAACACACCACCTGGGGGGAGAGCAGACACCATCACCTGTGAACTAACCTTGTGTTGCGTTCTGTTTCTTAGAATACAAAGCGTTGGGGTCCTCACGTAGCCACAGGCACGGCAGTGATGTCTTCTCCTGGTGAGCGCGTTGAAAGGCTCCTGGCATGTCATACACAAGGTCACCTCATTGTCTCTGATCCAGCGAGGGGCTCGTCGGCCAAGTTCCTGTGCAACAGGTGTGTATCTTTTCTTTTTTAAATTTCACACAAGGACCAGCTTGCGACTGAAATTTTCAAGAAAATATGTGATCCAACCTACAATTTGTTCTGTAGGTTCTTTAGAGGCCAATTTGAAGGTTTCGTTTTTCTTCTGAAACACATCAATGGCTTCCTGAATCGCCTGGAGATGGAGTACAAATTAGAAGTCTTTCTGTGACTTCAGTAGCAGCTAATGTACTGCAGCAAAACAAATATACCTTTATCCAGTCGTCTCGCTCCTGCTCAGAGCTTGTAAAAAAGTAAAACAAACAAAAAAACTGATTACATTTAAATTGAATGCAACATGTGAAGTGCTTATTGAAAATCCACTGCTTGGATTTAATTGCTAAGGCTGCAGGGCATTCATTTTACTTTGTGCAAGTTTGCATAATGCCGATTTGGACAAAAGTCGGCATTATACAGGATTATTTCTGTATTCCTATAGGAATACAGGATTGTCCTTATTCATACAGGATAATCCATTCAGATATATCCTGTTTGAATCAGAAACTAACACTTTAGAACGTACAAAGAGCTGTGGACTTCAGCTGTTACAGAAACGCTGTGAACCTACCTGGCCTGTAGCTCCAGAGTCTTTTCCTTGCCAGAGACCTGGAAAGTGTATGAATGGTCTTCATTGGTAGTCTGTTGTGTTTGCATGCCATCCACGCCAATCCTGCAGCGGACAGTAAACCGCTGACCAACCAGGCTGAACTTTGCGCAGCAGCACAGCAAGAAGTTGTTAAACTGTGTGCGCAAAATACTAACGTTAGCATCAGTGCGGCGAACACTGGAGGAGATTTTTCTGCACACAACTGACCAAGAACAGATGTCTCTCCATAGCTGATGTGTTCCTGGCAGCGAGTTTCAACAGGCGGCCTTCTTTGAGAAATTCGTTAGCTGGGTTGACCACTTCTTCTTCTCCAACCATCTCATAAATCTCCAGAAGCCGTTTCAGGTTCTCCTGCGATGAAACAAACACGGACTGAATTGGTCTGCTTAAAAACCCTCAATACCGTGCCTATGTTGTTACTATAGTCTATAAAGTAAAATGAAAATATTGAAGTTGTGAAAACCGTCGACATTAGCTCGAATCAGAACGGTATCAAAAGTTACGTGTCTACGCACGGCTTTGTGGACGGCGCTGTTTGAGTGAATTGCTGCCATAGAAATAGCCTCCAAGGATTCTATGGGAAAAAAAGTAAAACAAGAATCTCAATCACTTTCAAAACTGTGTTAAGAAAACCAGAATAGTTACAGTATAAACAGCATCTTCCATACTCTTTGGAATCCCTGGCAACAATGTGTAATTTAATCTTTTACTTCAATAGCAAAACCTCATGTAAAAAAATAGGAAAATGCTGCAAAGTATCTTCCAGCCTTTGGTCTGTAATGGCAGCTCCCAGATCACTTCAAGGCATTTTTTTTTGTACATTTTCATCAGTTTATGTCTTGCAGTTTGGTGCAAAATCACTTACTATTAGCAAGCTCATAATCTGGGTCATCTTCAGGAAGCTTCTTCAAGTAATCCTTCAGTAGCATCTCATAGCGTGGAACCCTCTGGACTGGTTCCAACATATGGTGCTGCAGGGTGAGGTTGCCGCACAATTCCTGACTCTAACAGCACAAACAAAACACCACTGATCAGATCTAGGTGAGACGCATGGGGACGGACAAATACAACCCTGTTCTGGCGAGCGTTTCTCGCCTGGATGTCATGGATGATGTTTCTGAAGGGAGACGAGCGTTCTGTCCAGGTTCTGATCAGTTCTATGGCTCGGTCAAAGTTCCTGATGTAATCAGCATACATCCTCAGGAAGGGTGCGTGCTGCAGGAGAGCTTTACCCAAACCAGGGCTTTCATGCCTTCATTGAAATGTAGCAGAAAATATTTTAAGGCCTCACACAATTCCTGTTCCAAGGACATTTTATGTTCATTAAGAAAAAAAAACGTTGCTGTTTTGGCCGGTGCAACGTCATTTATTCTCTAGTCAGGTATAAAATGGTTCCCCCTTTAATGAAAGACTAAGTAGCGGTACCACTAAGGTACTAAGTAATTAGAACCAAGACTCACCAGTGCATGATGCAGTTTTCCAGATCAGGCAGTAGAAACTGGCTGTGGAATGAGTAGATGGAAGATATGTTGGAGAAGATATTTTTTATGACGTCAGGAGGAAATGAGCCGCGATCAGCTTCTTGTGTAAGCCGTAAGCAGAAGACCTGCGCAGAGTTAAGAAGCCAAGGTCACACAGCAATGTTCATGTCCAGCTTTACATTTTCTCTTTTTAATTGTGCTCAGATTTGTAGTGGATGGTTGCATTTATTCATTTCCATAGAGGAAATGAATAAATGAAGCCATCTGTCCAACCTTAACTTCAATCTAGCTCATTCGTGTGTGCTGCAAAGATTATTTTTGTCCATCATCTGTCACCAAAAAGTGACCACATATTAATTTACCACATTCCTGTAGCACTTAACCAAACTTTTAAAATACATTAGTTTTATTTCTGTTGGTTTTTGTAAGATAAAAAAAAACAAAACAAAGTTATAGTCACCTGGTCGACAAGGTGGAGGCGGGCCACATAAGTCCTCTCTGTGTGCAGGAGCTCATTAGCTATCCTGTATAGTTTCTGTTCTTTGTCATCTTCACTTTTTGACTCACTTCCTCCACTTTCGTTCTTCTTCTCCTCATCTTCCTTTGTATTGTCAGCTTGTGGAACCAGGCGACAGCTCGCTTCTCTTGCGATCGCTTTATTCCACTCACAGGAATACCTGCCAGCACATCCTCCGAGTGTCTTGCCTTCATCCGTCAGGCTTTCTTTTAACTCTGCTCTCCCCTGTATTTTGCCATTTTGTTGTCCTGGGTAAAGTTCAGTGCTTTTACTGCAAAGACTGTCTCCATCTGTGGTACTTAGCTTACAGGTAGCTGGGGTCTTGGTGTTGACACCGTGCCCATTGCAGGTAGCTGATTTTAGAGGAGAGCAGACAGCTTTTTCAGGAGGAATCCTGCATGGAAGACATTTTT